TTTTTGAATATTTTTATGTATGCGACTATGATTCATTTGGCTTAAAATTTTTTATTTCGTAAATTCTTTTATTTAATAAAATCGGTCTCAGCAAAGGAATCGGTTCATAAATTTAATAATTTTAAACCAAAATGAATCATAGTCGCATACATAAAAATATTCAAAAAGGCACTCCGATATTCAAATTTAAATTGAAATAAATTCAAATGTAAAAGTTCGATTCAGCCTTTCTTATTATGATTTACCAATTGGCATTTTTAGTCATTCGTTGACACCTTTAATCATTATAGATGTCTAACCTCAGAAATTTTTTTTTTTATTATTATTAATCGGGTTCTAATGCAGAATAATTTAGAATAAAAATCAGGAGCAAGCTTGGACAGCTTGATTTAGAGAGCTTCATAAATCACTCGATTCATGAATCCTATTCTATTTACGCTACGATTGAAAATAAAGGAGAGTTTTTATAATCTTATAACAAGTGTCATGAGAAAATGTCTCAAATTTTTCGTTTATTTTTCTTTGGTATTTATGTAAAAATTGTGTAAAACATAGTTACTTCTAGCGAGAAATCGGAATTGTTTCGTCGATATAAACACTAAGCCATTATTAACACTAAGCCATTATTAACTTTAATGTTTATGTGTAAAAATGAATGACTAATTATTTGGAGAAAAAGGGACTTCTTCCGCACCGATTTGTTCCATCTAAAAATAAGTCGAGCTCGCGTAACGCTGATAAAAACGTGTCGCATCGTTTCTCAGGAAACAAATGGTAACTGTGAGTGGTAACTGTACTTTGAAATCGCAACCGCGAGTACATCTACAAAGTACGAAAGGACATTCATCTCGCGCGCTAATTAATTATCTGCGACCTGCAGAAGTCCGAACTTCATATCCGGATCGCGCGAGAGATTTACGCCATCGTTTCCACAGAGCACACAGGAAATCTGTGAATATGTACAAAAAAAAAAAAGAAAAAGAAACAATCTGATTCCGCTGATCCTGTCTGCCTGGAAAGACTGCATTTCACGAAGTCGATCACACCTTACGCGAGGATGAGGGAAGACGCCAAACGATATTACGTCGCGCGTGTAGAAAGGTTACCTGATTTACGTTTCGCAGAGGCACACGTGCCTCACACAACATCGTTTCGATGTGTTACAGGAAACGGTCTCTTCTGGCGAGGGACGAGGCGAGGAACGGCCGAATGAAACCGCGACGTCGCGCGAAACCTCGACGGACAGGAAACCGATCGACCTTCCCGTTCAGGATTGCGTGCCGGCTGATCTTCGGATCTTACGATGCGAAACAGGAGAACCTAGATCAATCGCAAGACACTCACCTCGAAGAGAGCCAAGAGCAGCTTGATGTAGAGCCTACGGACACCGAGGGACTTGCCGATGGACGCGAGGAATATTATCGCCAATAACAGCATGAGAAAAGGTGTCAGCAGCAACGAAAACGCGAACGACATCACCGTCCATAACGACGCCATTTTGCTCACTGCCGCGAGCTCCGAACATCGGTCAGTTTTTCTGCACGTCGTCATAGTGGAGGGGAGTTTGACAAAACTTGACTTGAGACAAAAGGACCGGATTCGTTGGTAATCTGGATTGGTGCGTCACATGGCGGTGCCATTTACGAACAACACTATGATAAACTAAAATGAAGATAATTGAAGTACATCGATATTACCGACTATCGATCTAACTTTTTGATATTATTTGATATTTTTGGGATATATATATATATATATATATATATATATATATAGTATAACGCTCTCTCCTCCGATTTTCCTGTAATTTTATAAATTTATTTTTATTTAACAAAGAAAAATCGTCGCTTCTGATTTATTTTCAAAATTGATAAGCTAGAAAATGATAGTACTGCATACTTACCATTGATATCATTTGATATCATTAATATTACTTTATTATTAATATTTACTCTATTATTAATAAAATTTAATATGCCAATTCTGCCAGTCACTTGCATGGATAATTGAGCACAGAAGATAAGAATAAAAGTTCAATTTTAAATGAAATTATATTTTAAACCATAAGCATGTTTAAAAACATTATGATAACAATAGAATCATAGAATTAATATTATGTTAATTTTTGTACTAATTTTTAAATTACATTATATTGTGAAATATTTTTCAAGTCACTCTATATTTCTATAAAATTGTGCTATCAACAGAGAAATCTGAGTGAAACTTCGTATCTTCGTAATAGTAACATCAACACTCGCGAACACTCGCCAGCAAGATGTCGTCGGCTGAATTGAATCCAGCTCCCTTGCGAGTTTCTCCTTTCATTAAGGTAAAATAAGTATAACTTTTTTCTAAATATTCTATCGTCGCATATTCTCTGATTCATTCTCCTTATATATTTTATTCCATTGCAAGACAGTTCCATCTTGCTGTCCAATTGAAATGTCATTATTTCATGTGTCACAACCAGATTCATCTTATTATATAATTTTTCCATCACTTCGTGAAGATATTTGTAATCGATAAATGTATATAAAAAATTGATCAGTGATTATTCAATTGTTAACGATTCATGGCTTCGATTTCACTTATTCAATAAAATATCTCTTGCCCAACATTCTTCGATTTTATAACCTTGAAACCCTGAAAAAGATTAAATGTTTTGCTCTGTATAAAATAAATATTTGAAAAATTAATAAATTCAATTAATAATAAACTTTTGATAATATCATCTATTATTTGATAAATGATATTTCATTTTGTTAACTTTGCTAAAAGTATTAAAAATGATACTGGAAAAATGGAGTTAAAAGTTTGTATATGAATATGTCTACAAGGATATAAAATTTAATGGAACATATTGCCCATTGTAGTTTTGTCGTTGGAGTCTGCTACTAACTGGAATTGCTTATGGTGCATATCATCAAAGGAGGCTTAAAAAGAGAGAGGATGCCCGCAGAGCAGAAGAGCTAAGACTTAAACCTATGCGAGATGCCAAGTTAGCCGAAGAAAAGAGACTTGCTCTGTTGGGTAAGAAATTTGACTACAGTTTAAAAATATATAAATATCATTTTAGAATTTCTTATTTTATAATATTAAATGTCATTATGTATACAGAATATTTTATGAAATTGTTAAATGTTTTTTTAATGATAATTTTTTTATTAGATTTTTTTTATTGGCCTTTAAATTATAATTATACATAAGATGTTTTGCATGAAAATTTTCTATTAATCAAAATACAAGAAAAAACATCCAATCTCAGAGGCTGTCTTGTAATAAAGAGATATATAATTATATAATTATATAATTATAATGTAATGAAAATATAAATATAAATCTTTTTTTCAGCGGAACAAAAAATGTTTGACGAGTTTTTCGCTCCAAAACCCAAAACAACATAAGTGTAATCTGTTTGGCATTAGTATATGTATGGCATTAATTAATTTGTATGTATCTAAAAAATAAATGTATAAAATAGTCAACATACTGCTCCACA